ACCCTGCGAGACTCCAGCTAGGAGGGAATCTATTACACATGCACCACAAAGTAGTATCTAACTGGCTTGCAAGCCCAGACAAGCTGACACTCCCTAGATAGCCTCGTCATCCTCCCCTAAACCACCCCCGGGCCCGTCCACGTAACCAGCCCTGCGTGTTTATGATCTGTCAGACACATGACTGTCACCTGCCAAGCCCTGCGGGACAAGCTCCGTCCCCTCCTGTCCCTCTGCCCCGCACCGCAGGTCATTGCACCGCCGGTCTCACCCGTCACCGGCAGACGGCACGGGAGGACACAGCTCTCTGCCATCTCACCAACGAGACACCGGCAGGACCCCATCCCAGCAGCAGGGTTTTATGCATTCCGTACTGGAAATCTCCGACACCATTATGGGAACAAAATACAATCATTAAAAGCTGCTTTTAAGTTTTAGTAAAAGATATGACCGGCACTATCAAGGCAGATGAGACAAGCAAGGTGCAAACGCCCCATAACAAGGGACACACGGTGCCCAACAGGCAGCTCCCGGGGAGGAAAGGGTCCAAGAACCACCGCCGTCCTCAGAGAGGTTCATCGGATACGAGCAGTCAGGCTGATGCCAGTGCCAAACCACAGCTAAGGTTAGCAGCCTCTGATGGGAAATTACTTGTATTGAGCACTCTGGAGGTTTCTTCCTTTCCAAAACTAGATTTTTCTTTGGTGGTGGTGTGGGGGGAGGAAGGGTGGATGCTCTACAAACAACTTCTGGTAACTTTTGTCTCCTCCTCATCCTGCCTCCTCTTCCACTCGAGTTATGTTTTTAACGGAAAATTATCTTTTAAAAAAAAAAAAAGCATTCCACTTGAAATGATGAAATTAAGGCTTAGAGACCCAGTTCAGCAGCGACCTCCCAGAGCACAGTGCAGGCAGGAGGACGGAGGCTGCAGCGGGCGCCGGACCCTCCCCAGCCCTTCCTGCACCCTGCCAGCTCCCAGGGGAGGAGGCAAGAGCCAGGCCATCACCTTCACCCTTCTCCTTGCCCCGCTTCCCGGCCAGCGGGGCTATCAAGCCATCGCTCCCAGGCACAGGAGGGAGCCAGGGGCAGGGCAGAGACACCCCACTGCACCACACCCCCGTGCACCAAACAGCTCCCCGAGGTCACAACATTCATGTTTCAGAGAAACCCAACTTTAGCGCTGAATGTCTTTAAAAACAAGGTCAGGTGTCTTTTTTTTTTTTCTTAACACAATCTGGCTTAATTTGCCCAAAAGCTGTTGGACCAGCTGCAGTAATTCCTGGAAGCAACGCCCTGACCTCCAGCCGAGCACAATGCTCACCATCGTCCCTTCTGATCTTAAAGACCATGATTCAAGTGGTTCCCTGTTCCCCCCTGCATTAGATACAGCGGCACGCAAGGGCAATCACGTCACACAGAAAAGCCCACCAGGCTCCAGGGCTTGCAAGGGATGTGCTCTTCCAAAGCCCCATCCATCTTCTCTTCTCTTGCAACCGGGCAATAGAGCAGAGAGTGCGCAAAGGAGCCCCGGGGTATTATGCCTGTGGATTAATTAAACCACATGGACAACACAGTACAGGATTAGCAGAGGAAAGGATGCTGGAGAGGGTCCACCTCCCCACCACCTTCATCCCACTGCAGGTCCAGAACCTCACTCAGTACTAGGTAGCGATTCCCTCCCTCCCCTACCCGCTGGGATCATGAGACCCCCAAGTCCTGCCCTTCCCCTTAGCCACACCACAACCCACTGCATCCCGCTCGGGCAGCAAGTCTGCTCCAGCCTTTTGCTGGACAGGGAAGCAAGAGAAAGGTGCAGGCAGGGAGCTCCAGAAAAGGGAGCAAAGACTTGGACCCCACTGCAAAGCAAGGCCAGCTGGGGCCACAAGACACTACCATGGTATCTGAGATAGTTACAGCAGTGCCCAGTAATTACGGTATTCCTTGGGGCGATCGACATTCAGACCTGTAATGCTGCCATGAAATCAGTGCAGCCTTGTCCCCATGCAGATACGGGGCTGAGGGGAGATGGGGTATCTCCCAGGCTGAGAAAAGACCAGAAACTTCCAGTTTCTACCATAAAAAAATCCTCTCTGCCCTCTCCCCCACTCAAAATCCCTGGCTAACACTCGACCTGCGCTACAGAGTTTTGTCAGCAAAAGAGGCGGTGGGTAGATCTAGCTCCATACGTACCCACAAGCAGTCCTGAGTCATGCCAGTAAAACCCCAAACTTTTTGTTGGTAGAGTAAAATCACCTCCCCAGCCAACGCAAGTTCCTCTCCCAGCTCTTTCCCCAGCGAACAGCCTGCCCAGGCAGCGCCTTATTAACACCAACAAAACGCATCTTCCGTCCAAAAACCCATAGAGCCCCACATCCGCAGCGGTGGTGGCTTCTCGGGTCACAGAATCACCAGGACCAGAAACCCGCACCCATTCCCAGGCACCCAAAGGCAAGCTCCACAAAGCACACAGGAGTTTCCTCCAGCAACGACCACCTTTGCAAGCAACGGGGGCAAAGCAAACTCGGGCTCAGCCTTGGACTGCAGCCCAGAGCTGGAAAAGAAAAGCAGCAGCCTTCGGGCAGAAGCATTATCCACTGAAAAAAAAAAAAAAAAAGCAGTGGAACACCCCTCCAGGGAGGGAAAGGGATTGCTGAAGCACAGCTAAATATTTATCACATCCAACATGATATTTTCCAGGTGCCCACCGTTAGGCTAGCAGAAGGCAGCACAAGGAGGGCAGGAGCAAAGCGCTGTGCTCTATGTTTGTTGTAATTAATCAGATGCAAGCTCCACGATGCTTCAACTCGAATTAAAATAAAAACCTGGCTCCGTGGGTTCAAAGCTCCCAACCCTGCCACCCCCCTGCCCGCGCACACCCAAGGGGCACCAGGCTGGTGGCTGCTCAGCCTGGAGGTGACGGGAGCCCAAAGCCAAAGCCCTGCTTCTGCAGGTCACGGCCCCACGTGTATTTTCAGCAGAACTGCCTTTTTTTTGAGGTGGCGACAGGAAAAGTGTGAATGGCACACGAGACAGTACAGGATTCACAGACGACTGAATTGCCTAACGGTGGTGTGCTCCCGCGGAGGGCACGGCAGGGACCCATCCCCACCGCTTATTTACCTACCCAGAATAGACGCGCCACCAGAACAAGTACCAGTTCATCCCCGGGTTCTGGTGTTTCTCACCACTGATTTTTTCCAAGCCTCAGTGTCAAAGGAGAGCTGACTCCCCAGAAACACCGCCCAGCTCCAGCTGGATCCTGCTCCTTCTCCCCAACGGCACCTATCTTCCCGCAGGAAGATCTCCTAAAGAGAAGGACTTGGCTTTTGAATTACTCTGGCATCTGCGCTGGGTGAGCCCAGGGGAGGCCAAGCAGGTCTCCTCCATCCAGACCCCATCCATGTACCCTCCCTCCCAGCAGCTGCACGGCTGCTCTCTCCAGCAAACTCCCCATTTTCGGGAGACGCGTGCCTCCCTGCCAGCACACTCCTGCCTGTCCCTCCAGGAGGGGCTTCCCAGGCACCCGGTGGCCACCCAAATCACAGCCAACAGCCACGGTGATGGGTGCCCAGGTCTTCACACGAGCTGCACAGGCAGGCAGTAAAATGCCTCGAGCCCCACAGCAAAGGCAGCAGCCTGGATTTGTACGCCCAGAGTCTGACCCAGACCCTGCACCCTCCACCAGGCTTCTGCACACCCCCAAAGACCCCCCAAGGCTTCCTCCCCTTCTGCTTTAACCTCTCAGATACAACAGCCCTCCCCTTCACAGCATCCATGTCACCAAAAAAGGTGCAGGAAAAATCACGCCCAGGACCAGCCACGTGTTGCAATCTGCAGCAGCTAGAGGCTGCGTCCCTTGCAAAGCTCTGCAAGGAGGACATGGGGGCAGCTCCGGAGCTTTGCATGCGATTCCTTCCCTCAGTGCCACCCATTTGATGAAACGCAGCTCCAGGGAGCTTTGGTGACCTGCGACAACGGGGAGCTTTTGCATATTTTAGTAAACATCCAACTTGACAACGCAAGGTAACACAGAAACCAAGCGACATTTTTCCCCACACACCTGATCCCGTGAGATAATTTGGATCAAGCAGATAGGAGCGATGGGAAGAGGAAGAAAGCTGAAATCCTTCCTAAGCTTTGCATAATCCCCAGAAGGTGTTTATCTCGCAAGCTATGTTTAGCACAGAGCAAGGCAAAGCTCTCGCCCAGCACCATTCCTATCGCGCATGTCACGGCCAGCCACGCGCATCCCCAAAAACTCCCGAGGCAGGAGACAACCCCGTGACTAAGCCAAAATGACGGCAGCCGAGTTTTGGTACCCATCTATCATGGAAATAGCCAACCTGAGAGCTTCAGCTCAGCACCCACCATTTACTACCATGATCAACCCCAGCCTGAGAAGGGAAAGCAACCAAGCAAAAGGAAACCTGAGCCCGCTCGCTGAATTTCCCTAAGGAAAATTAGGGAAATTGAGCTTAAATGCAGGCTGCCCAAAAGGAGAGGCAGAAGGAGCTGCCACGAGAGATGCCAGCAGGTGTCTGCAGTCCCAGCAGTGGGTGCACACGTTCAGACCCACGAGCATCCCCAGCAGGCAGCCAGCAAACCCACTCAGAGGGCTGGCACTGCCAAGGCAGATGCAAAACCGAGGAGAGGCACAGCAGACAGCTAGCAGGACGAGAGGAGAGGGTTTTGAAGAGGCAGATACGTTACACACGCTCAGGATCAACCCCCATGCTGAACGGTGCCCCAAGGGAGGCAAAGAGAGCTCAGGTCAGATGGGGACCTGGAGCTGCTGGTGCCAGCAGAGACCTGGTGCCAGCAGAGACCCAGCGCACTCGGCACACGCGCGACACCTCCAGCAAAGGATACAAGGAGTAATTGTATGAATGAACCGCTTCGTCACGACCCACAGCCCCGTGCAACCAGAAACCTGCCAACACAGAAGGGTTCCATGCTCCCTCCAAGGAAAGCACCACGCTCCCAGGTGCTCCCGCAGGCATCACCTTTTGCTGTCAGCCCGACTGCTTCCCCAAAATCCTCCCGGGCCCAGCTCAGGCCTCATCTCCTGCAGGGTATAAGCGGTCCCTTGGCCCAGCTCACCTCTTCCCTCCATCCACACATCCACGCGCTGCCCACGGCACCTGCAAGCCAAGCGAGAGGTCTGGGCTGGGGTGTCCCGGCGAGAGCCTTTTTAAAGAAGCCCGGCTGATCCCTTTCGGCGCGGGACGGCGGCTGGAGGCATGTGCTCCTACCTGTGAGTCAGCAGCTCCGCAAATCACTGCTGATTCACACCCTGCTTACACAGCAAACAGGAAACTCAGGTCCACATTCCCTCGGGTTAAGGCACGGATCATTTAAAAAAAAAAAAAGGGGGGGGGGAAGGAAAAAAAAAGTCACGCCGAGGTGCGTTCATCTGCTCACATGGTTCCTGACTTCGAGTTTCCAGTGCATCACTCCCGCACAAGGAATACCCCTCAAATTTTATTCCGGTGATAAGGGAGAGGCAGCAAGCCCGTACTCCGTGTGCCGGCCTGCGCCCGCCGCGCTGCTGCAACCGGCGCCCCGGAG